TATTGCATTTTTTTTGTCAAGTGAAGCATATTGACGCCTGTTTTTGATTCGCATCACAATGCAATATTTTTCGTATGTGTGTAGCAGCACTACACACTAACTTCCATTTTAAATACAAACTTGACGTCAACAGTAATCGTAATAGATTTGATGAACATCTTTCTGTATACGAGTTAAATACGAAAACATCTTTATTCCTTTTCGGCGAATCCATTCGTCTATACTATGATTTTAATCATTTCTTTAAAATCCGCTTTATTTTTCCGAACTATACTATTTTTAAACCGATCAAGTGAAACTCGAGGAGGCTTATTAAGTCGACTGAGTGAAATGATAGGAGATTTATTGCTTTTCACTTCGGCGTTGCCTAGCAAAATTCTTCTTTCTTTCTTTCCACACTGTATTTTCTTGTTCGAACCAGCCACTCATTCTCAGTTATCTCTGATCATTTTACACATTTGGGAAAAAGATGATTCGAAAGTAGATAACACATCTGAAGTTAGGTTTTGGATATTTGCTTTAGTTGTAATTAGTGTCACAAAATGAGTATATTTTTGAGACAACTGTATCGTTTCTGCTATGAGATAATTAATTATATACTGCTTGATACAATGAAAGCTACAGCAGAATAATAGACTATAAATATAGCTATAATATAATAGACTAATAAATCAGCTGATATAACAATGTCCGTGAAACATTTAGCTGAATAAAATTCAAATTCGCTGCTAAAGGAGAAAAACCAATTTTTTTTGGCTGAACTATTTCATTTGTAATAAGCACAGCATTTTTCTACTGAGAATCCATGCAAACGACACTCGAAAATGAGTCCTCGACGAGGACTCGAACCCTCGAAAAATGAGACTTCGAACCCTCGATATAAGTGTTCGAGGGGTTATCGATTTCAAGCCCTCGATTTCACATAGGTAGTGAAACCTCAAGAAAAATTCTGAACCGTCGAACAGAGATACTCGGGACTTCCGAGCCTTCAGACGATGAGAACTAGGAAGTCTTTTCGTCTGCTTGGATCCCGAACATCTCTGTTCGACGGCTCGGAATTTTTCTCGAGGCCTCGCTACCTATGTGAAACCGAGGGCTCGAAATCGATAACCCCTCGAACACTTATATCGAGGGTTCGAAGTCTCATTTTTCGAGGAATCGAGTTCTCGTCGAGGACCCATTTTTGAGTACTCACCGCACCCCTTGAACGACTTTTCTCGTCTGCATGGGTTCTCAGTAGAAAAATGCTATGCTTATTACAAATGAAATAATTCAGCCAAAAACATTGGTTTTTCTCCTTTAGCAGCGAATATCAGCTAAATGTTTCATGTACATTATAGATAACCTCTCGAACGCTTATGTCGAGGGTCCGAAGTCTCATTTTTCGAGAGATCGAGCCCTCGGCGAGTGCCGATCGAAAGCGTATTTTCGAGTGCTCGAAATACCCGTCGAACAAATGGTAGGCAGTCGACTTTTCAATCTTCCTGCCAGGCAGTTAGCTCGCTAGTCTGTTTCGCTATAAAAAATTCCACTTCTTTCCGTACGCTTTTGTTTCTCGAGTCAGCTACTTGTTCTCAGTTATTCCTAATCGTAGAGATTAGAGCCAAGACCAATAGAAAGTCTAAGAGCTATAGATGACACACTTGAAATTAGTTTTTCGATATATCTTTTAATTAGCGTACGATACAAACTCTAAATCTGAGCATATTTTTAAGGGCTCTACCGGTTTTAATACACGATAATTAATTTTCACGTGACATTTCATGTATGCAATATATTCAATATGAACAGTGTACAGTGACTCACTAAGTAGTCACATGCTACTTATCAGTCTATACTTCTATATACATTGAACACCCATTTAGTATTTTTTTTTTCTCTATTACCTTTAGACTCTCTAGTTTATGTTTAAATATATACATAAACTAGGGAAACTAATAATTGAGCAGTACTGTTTACATAAGCGGATCATACGGTTAAGAAACGTTTCACCCGGTCGGTTTTCCAACCTTCCCGAAGGTCAGTAGGCATCTAATTCTATTCTCTTTTTGATCCCCAAAAAATCTATAGTGTTAGACAATCTGAAACGAAGATTCTTTGATGATTTATAATTAAGAAAGAAAAAGAACACTATACACATTAAACAATGGTAAATGTTGTATACTGCTGACTTTTAAAAAAAATAAGAGTTATTTTAAAAAATTTCTTTTCAAGCACCTGTTGGTCATACTAAGAAAAATTGATATCATTATGCTTATGCATGAGACTAGATAGCCAGTTTGTACATTTCATACAAATGTAAAAGAAAACCTTATTATCAGAAAAATTTAATATTCTCATAATTCTATGGTTAGTACAATGCCATTTTATTAATTAACAATCGCAAATTTCAAGTTACTACCGAAAAGATTGTGAGATTAGATGACTACTACAGCGTAATTGTTATAATAAATTATAGACAACTGATTAAAACTAACATATACTAAAACTTACAGTTTTTCATCAGTCTTGCACGTGTAAAAGCTGTTTTGTTTCTTCTATATTAAGCAATTGTATAATGATTATGATTACATTGTACAGAAGAGAAGAAAGCACCTATAGAGCAGTAAAACATGTACATGTTTTGCCACTTCATTATTTTCATTCGAACACATTTTTTTTCTTATATTTATTGTATTGTTTCAAAAAATGTTTTTTTTATACGTACAAAAACTGTGTTCTTAAAAAACTCCTTTTTTTTTTGTCTTATTATGTTTTTTATCGTATTTCATTATCTTTAAGCAAAAAATCCAAACATTTTCTCTTCTTTTCTCTTGCAAAAAAATAAAAATAAAAATTTGTACGTAGTCTAAATCATGACATATTTTGGTGATAACACACGAGAGAATGAAAAGAAAAAGTAATAAATAATAAAATGTCGATTTAAAACAATGTTCTAATGCATGTTTGATAATCATGCGTACAATCAACATTCATTGTTCTATTCATCACTATGAAAAGTTGTTGCCATCATTTCAATTTTTATCGTTTTTTATTCTGTACTTTGTTCATATGTAGAACAATGTACAATCTATAGTAATGAAAAATAATGGAAAAGAAATAATGATTTCCGAACTTGACACCTTCATACACAAACAGTATCTAATTTGAAAGAAAATGTAATTGATTTAAGCAACCAATAGAACTTTGAACTTCCTATGATATTTCAAATATTCGTTTTATAGAATAAAGCTAGACGGTAATTACTATGAAAATATTTTAAATTTAAATCCTTCCCAAACTCCTTATTGTTCAAAGATATTTGAGATGAAATAAATCAGAAGTATACTTTCTGCTCGTTTATAGAATATAGAAATATCGCTTAACTCTTCTAAACACTAAATCAGATAAAAAATCATTCTTTTTTTCTAGAAAAGTATTAAAGTGGAAAAATTATATAGAAAACAAAACTAACAATCAATAGCTCAGGTGTTAAAAATAAAGTAGTTACGAAGACAAGTTTTTTTGGTCGAAAGACTCAAACAAACAAAGTCTGAAATAGTTTTGAAAAGTGTTTTAATTGAAAAAGAAATCTCAAATATTAACATAGTGTATAATAAAAAAAGGATTTATTGGTCAATTTTATCGTTTGATTTTTCGTAATGTAAGATCGAATCTCATATATCATTTTCATTATTCGATTTATGTCGTGAAAGTTGATTAGAAGGATCTACTGAAGTATGTAAATTTAGTTTTCTGTTAACTAGTTTTCATTCTCTCCCCCTAATTGTCTAACTCATTCATTAAATGTTTTCTCATTGTTAAACACATAATTTGATTGACACATACCCTAATCATTAGAATATATATATATATATATATATATATAATGATCACTTTGTTTCATTCGTTTTCTAAAAGCAATTAGTCAATTATACGGGAAATCATGATGCATAATCGTTTAATATGATATCACGTACAAGAATGATCTTTTTTTTATCGTACATATTTAACATGAAAAGAGATGAAAAAAAATTTTTTTTCTTATGTCTCACGCCTCTCTTATGTAAGGGTCCTACGGTTTTTCTATCTTATTTTTGTACATTATACGGATTTTTTCGTTTCAAAGACGATATGATGAGGGAGTTTTTTGTTTCTTTAATTTGTGTTATGTTCTTCCTCTTCTGTAATGTACTACAACGACGACTACTATGTATTTCAAAGTTATATATTTCTATACATAAAATAAGTGCAATAAAAAACAGAATATGTATATGCTAACAACAAAACATGTATTTTATTTCTTTCTTTAAGATTTTTTATAAAATCTTGATAAGGAGAACCATGTTGCATATATATATATATCACTATGGACAAGTGATTTATGTACAAAACTTTTTTTTGATTCTTTTTCTCGCACACACATACACGTAGACTATATCTATATGCTTTCTCTTATTCAATTCCTTTTTCGAAAATGTTTCTTTTTTCTCCCTTTATAGCAAGAAGACGACATTCGTCGAATCGTTGTTTTTGAAATAAAAAACAAAAGAAAATTTCAAGGTTGGTTATATTGAAACAATAAAAAAAATATGTAAAAATGAACTACACCAAATATGACTTTAATCAATTTTGCAAAAAGTCAGCTTTATTTGCGTATTTATACGACGATAAAGAATCGAGACAAAAAAAAAATGAACAAAAAGTACACTATTTTTTAAAAATAGAATTTCCAGTTAGGAGCACAATTATTTTCTAATAAAAATTGGTAAATTCGGACTTGTTTTACGTCGAAATACAAAAAATCATCTACGTTAGGGAAACTTAGTATTTTGTTCTGAAATTTAGGGTTTCATTCTAATGTTTAGTTATATAGTCAAAAATAAAATTTATCTATCATTCTAGAACACATTTTTTGAAATCATATATTGTTCATTACGATATACACAAGAATTTTATCACTTATAAATTGTGATGAAAACAGTAATACAAAACGTGAAAATAATATAGAAAATTTGCATTTACTGTTTCTCAAATGCAGCATCAAACGCAATTTCACTCGGTTTAAAATTTAATTTTCTAACAAATTGGGCCGCTTCTTTTGCACCATATTCTCTTTCCATACCTACATCTTCCCATTCAACAGATAATGGACCCGAATAATTAATACTGTTTAATGCTCGAATTATTTTTTCAAAATTAATTGAACCACGTCCAAGTGAACGAAATTCCCAAAATCGTCGTGTATCTCCAAATTTAGTATAACCTCCAAACACCCCTGCTTCACATGGTTGATCCCAAGACCAATAAACATCTTTCATATGTACATGATAAATTCGATCGTAAAATTTTCTAATAAATCCAACATAGTCAACACCCTGATAGCCGAGATGACTTGGATCATAATTAAAGCCAAATTCTGGACGATACTTTAAACTTTCAAGTGCACGTTGAGCACTTACTATGTCGAAAGCGATTTCAGTTGGATGTACCTCCAGCGCATATTTGACATTACATTTTTTAAATTCATCTAATATTGGATTCCATTTTTCAGCAAAATCATCATATCCTTCTTGAATCTGGTCATTATGAACAGGTGGAAAACTGTATAACAGATGCCAAATTTTTGAACCTGTAAATCCATTAACAACATTGATTCCCATATTTTTCGCTGCATGTGCTGATTTCATCACTTCTTCCGCAGCACGTTTATGAACGTCTTTTCCATTGCCCCACACATGCGTCGGCAATATTTGTTTATGACGTCTTTCATCAATAATATCACATACAGCTTGGCTAATCAGATGAATTGAGATTGCCCAAGTATTTAAACCATATTCATTCAATACTGATCGACGTTCATCACAGTAACGTTGATCAGTAGCTGCTTTAGAGACATTGAAATGTTCACCAAAACATGCTAGTTCCAAACCGTCATAACTAAATTGTTTTGCTTTCTTCGCTAAGACTTTCAGACTTAAATCAGCCCATTGACCTGTAAACAATGTAACTGGCCGTGTCATGAGTTTCGAACTACTTCTAGCTTTTCTAAATATACAAAATGTTCTTTCAGACTGTCTTTACCAAGATCTGAAAGTATTTTCCTTCAGCCATAATTTTATAATAGAATACTACTATATATTAAATCCTTTCTTGGCAGACAGATATCGTTTAAACATTATGTACCGAGGCTATTTCAACGACCAAAATAAGTCACAGATTACTCTTGGCTAAAGTATCAGATAAATCAGGGAAGTCTCATTTTGAAGGATACTCTAGAATATTACCCAGTCAACAAAAATATCAAGAGGAGGAGTGTGGTGGAGCACTTTTTGGAAGAAAAAGAAAGGAGTAATCTCGATAACCCTTTTTTAAGAAGCACTCCGGAGTACTCGAAGTGTATGTTCTCAAAAGGAGTACGCTTTTTTTGAAGTGCTCTGCAGTGTCTCGGCTGCACTTTATGAAAAGGAGTACTCGCGCTCTTTTTTTGAGGAATATTCGGGACTAGTCCAATAAAAGAGTACTCTAGAGTGATCTTAGTGGCTTTCTCAAAAGGAGTGCTCCGAAAACGGAGTACACCTTCATGGAGTACTCCGAAAACGGAGTACACCTTCGTGGAGTACTCCTTCTGACCTTTTTTTTGACTGGGTACCGTCTGAAAAAAACTTGTGATTGAAGCGATCTGTTTTCTGGAAACTGTACTGGTGGTCAAAGTATTTTCTTCATATTCAAATTTTGTTCTTTTCTCTCTAAAATCTTCCCGATAGATAAGCAGATATTGAAGAGAACGAATAGTCGAACGATTTTCAGCCCTAACAGCTTGATTGCGAACTGTTAGCATTTTAACAGTTTAAGAAAAAGATTCGGATGTAGTAAATTATATTGATTTTTTCTCTTTTTTTTCTCTCTCAAACTTCTCTGCCGATTTTCACATACGTCATAGAATTTAGTGTTCTAAACAATTGTTATTTAGAATAGATCAAATCGGCTTTTGGAAGACGGAGAAAGTTAGTTTCTCCGTACGTTCTGCACATGCTGGCTATAACTACTTTTTTACGAGAATAAAATGGAGCTCTTACAAAACTGATTGTCACCAATGAGTTTTCAAAAAAATGCTATACTAGCAGATTATGGTAAGTCACAGCTAATTTTCTCGTTAAAAATGACTTATTTCTGTGCGAAATACTTCAATTTACTAACATAACAAATTAGACTTATGTATATTTATTTATACAGACTTTTTCAAGGGAAAAAGCATTTAAAATTCGACGAGAGATCGAACCCCGTTCATTACATGAAGGTTTTTGTTTTTTTATCGCCGTTCTTTCACCTTGTAATTCTTATCATTTTGAAGAAATATAACGTCTATAATAGCCATTCTAGATGAAACATTATCGGAGTAAGGAAAAAACAACTAAGGGCATCTCACTAGAGCGCATTTCACGAAGAATATATTATTTTTAATAAAAAAGCTTAGCTTAATTATGTTTATAATAAAAGGACGATACAAAAAAATAAGTTGATCATGAAGTTATAAAAAAGTTCGTATTAAAATTATAAATAATATACAAAAAGCCAAATTCATAACCCATTTACCTTGAACACTAAAAACAGAAGATTCTATTTGAGAAACTATTTTGCTCTGGACAAAAAGTAATAAAGTGCGCTAAAAAACACAGCATTTACTATATAAACCTTAATATAGCTTATGGCAACAGTTCATCATCGGGTAACACCTAAAACTTCATTAGGTAGACATAACGAACGCTCGACTGATAACAGGAAGAAAATACTAGCATCAATTCTTTTTTTGTGTTGTTTCCTGAATGACATATTTAAAGCTAGAAGAGAAACGAAGTATTATGATGATGAACTGAAAAAAACGTATTACACCACTTACTTTTTTACCCGAATTCGGCATTTTCTCTTCCGGAAATGAAGCAGCGGTGTCCACACAAAGTCAGTTTATAGAACTTTCTTTTTTTATATCGGAAATGGCATAGCGAACGAGATCAAGTATTACTGTTAAATTTTTTTAAAATATAAACTAAAATATCAACATTTCCAAATTCTTTCACGGCTGTATCACATATATTTTTATGTTGACTTTCCTAAATACAACAAGACATAACATTTACAAACTGAATCACTATTAAGTAAGTGTGGACATTACGACTCCAAACAAAAAACAAACTGCCACGTTAGGAATAAGAGGGAACGTAACAATAAAAACTCTGGAATAAAAACAGGCATTGACGAAAGCAACAAATGCGTACTTAACGGATATGAGAAAAAGTCGCAGAAAACAAAATTGCTATAAACACTTCGCACGAATAGACGGCGTTTTGTGTCAACAATGAAAACGCGCACAATTTTAATCACAGACCCTAAAGAGATCTAATTCAAAACGAACAGGACGCAACAGTAGACAATGTTCCAGTAGCAAAACATCAGATTTTCTGATTTAGGCTAAATTACAGGGAATTGAATTCATTAAAAACATGAACTTGAAAATGTAGACTACAGGACTTCAGACGATCTATTCACTTATAAACCATGTTGTACATTTTAAATTCGTATACTTTTTCTTAAAGAAAATTTTAAGCAAACTGGGATTCTATAGTTTACGATTCTACTTTCCACGTTTCTTTGGCACAAGCAGGGTGGAAATGAAATTTCCACAGTAGAAACCTATTTTGCTTTCATTAACTGGATGTACTGAACCTTTCAATATAATCAGCCTGAATTGAAGATGAACGTCGTTTTGATGAGAGAAAATGTGTGTTTCTGTTTGAACAATTCTGTGTAATTTGTTAGAAAAAAGTCAGTTCTTTTCTACAAAAATTAACTTACTGAAAATTTCACTCGTTAGGGAATGTTTCAAAATATATTCCGGTCGGTCGGTCGCTATTCCTCTATTCCCCAATTATTTCTCTATTATAGAATTTAAATTCTAATTTATTTTATTTTATTTTATTTTGTATAGTTCGGTTTCTTTGATTGTATTGTTGATACATACATCGGCATATATATACTTCCAATGTGTTCTGTTTTTTAACAGACATCTTTATACGAGCAGACATTTTTCTGTTTAAAGAATAAAATCAGAAAGTAACAAATTTTATATTTTCATCAAATGTTCATCTTTTTTATATTCAAGGAGGCGAGTGCTTACTGTAAACTTATTTCGTATTGCACCAACTTCGCGAACTAACATTACACTAATTAGAATAGACCCATTTCTATCTTTTATACTAGTTTAAAGTGCACGAGTTGTACACTATGCTGGTCTATTTTTTAGAAAAGGATCCCTTTTAGTCTGTGAGAAATATGACTGTGAATATGGTTAATTATTGTTTAAAAAAGCAAGTTTCGAGACAAACAAAACAAGTCTCTGGAAGTCGCGCATCGAATAGAGGAAGAGCGGAATAGAGGAATGACAGAGGAATAAGAGAGGAATAGTCGGGGAATAGAGGAATAGCGGAATTGAAGAATAGGGGAACAGCGGAATAGAGGAATAGCGACCGACCGACCGGAATACATTTTGAAACGT